CCAGTCCCATTTGACACCTCAGATAGTTGTATCTCTGTTTAACAATTCGACTGCAAACACAGCCAGAACCAAAACTCAGCTAAGCTGCTTCTACAGGAACTGTAAGATAATAAATGTTTGCTTATCATACTATATGCAGTTTAATTCAATGATCATAATTTTTATTTCTACAAGTTAGCTTTGGCTTTTTTAAAAATCTGCCTGGTTGGGGTGCCTGGGTGACTCAATGGGTTAAGGGTCTGCCTTCTGCTCGGGTCATGATCCCAGGGTCCTGGGATGGAGCCCCGCATCAAGCTCTCTGCTCAGGGGAGCTTACTTCTCCCTCTCCCTGCTGCTCCTCCTGCTTGTACTCTTTCTCTGTCAAATAAAATCCTTAAAAAAAAAAACAAAAAAAACCTGCCTGGTTGTTTTTGATAGTCTCTTGTTCATTGCAAACGCTTCTGTTTTCTACTTTGTCTAAATGTTTTAAATATCATTTCATATTATACATTCAAAAGGTAAATAAAAATTATTTTCTTTGTTTATAAAGGAAAATGACACCATTTCTCTTGTTTCCCCCTTCTAAGTTTTTCCTGTGAAAATCAAAATGGCCGAAGTCCTCACTCTAGCCTTTAAGAATGTAAGGCTCTCTGAGAGGTCTGGGCTTGATCCCTTGCGGTATGTAAACACCTAGGAAGAGAGAGCTTCTTCACCTTTACGATCTTAACGTAGGTAAAACTACTTGTTCTTTCAGAAAATAAATTTTATTATTCTTTTGGATGAGGATAACTAATTAAACAAAAGGCCAATTCCTGAGTGAACTTAGGGTGAAAGACTGAAAAAAAAAAAAACAAAAACTCAACCAAGAAGGATCTGGCCACAAACTGTGATGACAAGTCCTCCTACAGAAAACTGGTTACCATTAATCCAAGTAACAAGGAGTAATTGTGCTGCCAAAAGCAAATATTCTACTATTGATCCTAAAGCCTCATGTTTGTTACATGCTAGCTAAAAACAGCACGGCATAAAGGCATTATAATTAATTTAGCTGTATAAATTGTGAGATTTTATTCTGATTGGGTAGTTTCTTGTGGGCTACCTATATACAACCACTTCATTGTGCTTACTCAATAATGAACAAGTTTATTTTTGTAATATAGTGAAGTGAGGAAACATCTCTTTCTTGGTCATATTTTTACTTCTGCAATGATATCTAAGAATTCCAACTCCTACCGCCCTTTGTGGGTGTAATTTTGCTCTTTGTTGTTTTTCATAATGATCTTATGCTTGGCATTTCTTAAGCATAAGAACCCAGGCTCTCAGGATTCCCACTGAGAATGGGAATCCTGAGAGCCTGGGTTAAAATACTCCTTTGCAGACTTATGTTTGCTTCTGCCAGACACCAGAACACACTGCTCATCCAGAACTACTCTGTTAATTTTTCAGCTAGAGATTTCCCAGACCATGTGGGTAGAGTAAAATCAAACCCTAAAACTGCATGAGGGCTGACCTGCAGTTATGAATTCTCAGGGAATACTTTTTCCTTCCACCCAGTACCTAATGATGTGGAAAACAAAGACAGAAGAAAAATTATTAAATTTCCTTACTACCTACAGCCTATTGACAAGTCCTTGAAACAGGCAGAGTGACAGTCCTCTAGGGACTCAACTGCCTCCATATTAATATTTTGCTAAGGGCAAAAGACATCCTAGTCCGACCCCCCCCATCCTGTAAATCTACTTAACATATAAAAAATCCTTTAGAAATTTCCTTTATCTCTGGGCGCCTGGGTGGCTCAGGTCAAGGTCCCAGGGTCCTGGGATCAAGACTTGCATCACATCATCACATCGGGCTCTCTGCTCAGCAGGAAGCCAGCTTCTTCCTCTCCCTCTCCCACTCCCCGTGCTTGTGTTCCCTCTCATGCTGTCTCTCTGTCAAAGAAATAAAATCTTAAAGAAAGAAAGAAAGAAAGAAAGAAAGAAAGAAAAGAAAAGAAATTTACTTATTCTCTAAACCCCCCCAAGATGCGTGTTGGCAAGCACCCCTGCCCCAAGCATAGGCCCACTGATATACATCTGAAGGGCCTTATGACTAAGGTTTTATTAACAGTAATAAATGACCTTTCCCAACAATAGCTAGCCCCCTCAAGGTTCTGGAAACCTTGCTTCCAAATTCCTTAGAGACTTATGCTATTCCCTAAACCCCTCCCAACTTTACAGTATATAATAGACCACTCCTCATGACCCCAGTGCAACTCTTCCTGCCCACAGGTTCTGCCCCCGTGCTTTACTAAAACCACCTTTTTGCACCAAAGACGTCTCAAGAATTCTTTGTTGGCCATTGGCTTCGAACCCAAAGAACGTTAGTTCTTTCTTACATCATCTAGGGCCAAGCCAAACAAGACTAACCTGGTTCTTCCCTTTGCTCGTTAACAGACTATAATTTATCCTCTGGATTCAAGTGTTTCAGCATTATGCTGGGGTCTCAGCCAAGCCTACCTCCTCACCCCCTTACTCTTACCTTTTATGAGGTTAACTTTCATTCTGCTGAGCTGCTGTTAAAGCCTAAAGTTCTTTCACTTCAGCAAAAGTCCCCAGGATGGCCCTAAAGTCAGCTTAAACTTGCCATGTTCATTTTCAGTTCTTGTTCCCCACATCACCCCTGCCTCCAATCTGATTTCTCTTACTTTCATGTGACTTTGTTAAATGTTTTGATCTGGGGGAAGGGTATCTTATTAGATCTTTTTCATCAGAGGGTCTTTAAAAATATGACATCCAGTATGTTGGTGGAAGGAAATATCAAAGACATCTGTTTTATGATAGCTATACTCCTTACCAGCCACTATCAAACATATCGGATAAGATAGAGGTAGGTGGAAAAGACATGACATAGAATAAAAAATAGAATATTATTGTTCTCAACTAATTCTCTCAGGTATCTTGAGTAAACTGTAAGTACTATCTGTCTCTTCCAACTTGAATACACAGATATTATAAAACATAATTTATGGTATCTGCTTTAGTAAAGGAATGTGCCAATTATTTACTTTTGCTGTTTTCTCTTTCCTCATCTTCCCATTACTCTCAATAACAAGACTCTATCCACAATGTTCTTAATTAAAAGTATTAAGAACTTCTGTTTTCTATTCTCCCCTTCATGGGAATAAATTTTAAATGATGTCAATCAATTCACTTGATCAAGTGACTTAATATTACATCTACATGATCTGCAGTATCAGCACAATGATACTCCCCATGAGTCAACTTCTCTATGAAAAAAGACTAGTAACTTCTGATATAACTAACACAACAGATTTTGATAGAACTATACCTATTTAAAGACCACGTATTTCTCGGAGGGAAATGGGTGAGAATACCAGTACTTGGTTTCCAAAGTACAGGCTAAATTTTCAAGGTGTTGCTAAGCTTGGTCTTTTAAATACATGGTTAGTCAAATAAGCCTACTTCAGCAGTACACCTAAATGCTCACTATCTTGGTCGCTTCCAAAAGCCACAGAAGGTCTTGAATAAGTGTGATTTCTGCTGTTTCACAGCCCGCTTTTGTAGCAGTAGTGTGTACAATTTTAGAGGAGGGAATTGGAAGTCAGGACACAGAAAACAAAAAGAAGAATCCAGTTATATAGAGAGATGGGTGGTCTGGAGCAGATATAATAGTACCCGTAATCTGGAAAGGTTGCAAGGCAATCTAATATCTATTGCTTAAATTGGGGGCAGGAGAAAGATTACTAGAATGTAAGCTCCACCAGAGAAAGAGTCCTCATGATTTACTCCAGGTACATAATATATATTCAGTAAACATCTGACTGAATGCAGGCAGTACTAGAATGTAAGAGGAAAAATTCATCACGACTTGGGGTCTGAATCAGAAGGACAAATGAGTCAAGAAGAAACTTGCCAGTGGAACTGACCATGTCTGGAAAGGGAGCTAGTTCTGGAGGAAAAGTGTAACTGGAAGCTGTAGTATCAAACCTGCATTTCTCATATGATACCACCGCATTCTCTTACTTGATCATCATTTAACCTAGGCTGGATGAGAGGCAAATCCTCTCTAGATTTCCAACTATTCTCTAATCACATAAAAATGTTTCTTCCTAATGTTGCCTACACATCCTCCTTGTTCCGTACAGCAACGCGAGGAAGAGACGGGTGTCGGCACAAAAAAAGCCGGCAGGTGTGGGGCCAGACCTACAGTCCAGTTTCTGCCGCAGCTGCAGAACCTTCCCCATTCCACAATCTTGGGGCGTCCATCAAGGGGAGAGTTGAAACATGACTTCAAGTATCAGAATGAAGGCGAAACAAGAACATGTCAGAAGCTCTAGTCCAACTCTTACAATTCTTAGCTCCAGGCTACCCCTTTTGGGTGCGGTTGGCACCATTCGTGGAAACACGATAGGAAATGGGTAAAGGTCGTCAGCTGACGGCATGGTAGCCGGAAGACCTCTAAGTGCGCCTGAATTAAGGCGTTCCCCTCGGGGCAGGCAAAACACCTCCCCTTTAAAAAGCACATTACGTCAGCGAGCACAAGGGCAGTTACCTTCGCAGGATGACACCCTCGATCCAGCACGCAACTCCCCTCCACCCTCCCCTTGGGTACACGCCTGCACACACGGGCAGAACGGTGATGTCAGCCCTTCCGGCTCCACCCCGTTGTCGTACATCCAATGGCCTGTCGTAACTGCCGGCAAGAGAGCAGAAGGGCACCTGCGCGGCACACCCTACCCTGCTAGCCGGCATACGCGCGGGTCGTTGACGTAGGCCCTGGAGACTGGAGCCAATGAGGCGCGGTGACGTCACCACGCACCAGGCGGCGCAGCCGCACGTCTTGCCGCGAGGGGACGGAAAGAGCTCGGTTGCACCAACACCGGTACTTAGGTGCAGACCGGCGTGTCCTTGGGTTTAGAGAGCGGGACGTCCGGCTTGCGAGCGGACACCTTCGTTTCGCGCGCGGCGAAAGAGCGGTGAGCGCGCGGCGCGGAGGCCGTAGCGGGCGGTAAGCCGAGCGCGGGGGCGCGCGACTGCGTTGAAGGTGCGCGGGCAGGCTGAGGCCAGCGCCCGGGTTTTGCGGGTGAGGCCCACGTGAGGCCGGCAGGCCCGGGAGTGACGACGACCCCCGCCTGTGGTCAGCCAGCACCCGATGGGTTACGGCTTGAGATGGGGCGGAACCCCAACTGCGTGGGTATATGGATTCGACCAGGGTCCTGAAAGCCTGGAGGAGACATGGGTACAATACGACTGAGACCCAGGCCCTCGTAGTCCGGGCTGAGGGGCTGTGGAAGTGACAAACAAGACTAACCGAGATGAGGGCGGGAACGTGAGGGACGCGTGTAGTGCCTCACATTCTCCTTCACAGGGAGCAAAAACTGTTGCTTCTCCGAAAAGAAGTCATTTTTCTTCTGGGTCACCTGTCGCTTTTCCCCTCAACCTGCCTAGGCATCTCGGGAAGGTAGGTTTCATCAGTCTCCTTGAAACCGGCCTTATTGGGTGACCTCGTGGTTGCCTCCTTGGATCCCAGAGCTGGAGGATGGGGGTCCCCGGGAGACCTCGCAGCCCGCCACTGCCCTCCCACCTACACAGTAAGGCAGTTAATAGTGACCTGAGCAGCCTGAATCAAGCACGACTTACGTTTTTTAAATGTATTCAAACTTAATCAGAGAAGTGGCTTCGATTTGTAGTATGAATAATTAGACTTATTTAAAGGTTGAAATTTTTGAGGTTTTGGCTTAATGTAATCATGGTTTTCAACTTACTCAGATTTGTGACTTTTTGTGACCTTGACCTCAACTTTTGAAACCATTTTGAACTTGGCTCCCACTTTACTTACTTGGTGTTTAATTCCGTCCTAAACACTCATGGATGTGTATTTAAGGAAGTTCTTCCAGCTAGTGGTTTCTGTATTACAGAGTCTGTTGCAAGTGTACTGAGTAAAACGAGATTCAGAGATTTCATCCTGGTACTTACATCCTAGATTGGCAGTCAATAGTAATTGTCAGTAGAGAAACCACTGATTGCTTTCTGTTGGATTTTTACATGGAGGGAAAAGGTAATAAATTGAGTGTTTCATTTTTAGATTTAAAAATGGGTGATGTTGAGAAGGGCAAGAAGATTTTTGTTCAGAAGTGTGCCCAGTGCCATACCGTGGAAAAGGGAGGCAAGCACAAGACTGGGCCAAATCTGCATGGTTTATTTGGCCGAAAGACAGGTCAGGCCCCTGGATTTTCTTACACCGATGCCAACAAGAATAAAGGTAAGAAGCTGGGGGCAGGGGGCAGTTTGTAAATAACAGAAGCACAAATTGCGTGAATATAACCAATGGTAAGTCCTTTATCAGGAGTGTAAAATATTTAACAATACATCCCTCCTTGTTTAGGCATCACCTGGGGAGAGGAGACACTGATGGAGTATTTGGAGAATCCCAAGAAGTACATCCCTGGGACAAAAATGATCTTCGCTGGCATTAAGAAGACAGGGGAAAGAGCAGACTTGATAGCTTATCTCAAAAAAGCTACTAAGGAGTAATAGTTGGCCATTGCCTTATTTATTGCAAAACAAAAATGTTTCATGACTTTTTTTATGTGTCCAATTGATCTCATACACCAGAATTCAGATCATGAATGGCTGATAGAATATTTCTTTTGGACAGTCCTGATTTAAATAAGGTTGGCTTGTGGTTAAATGAATATGATCAGCTTTTTGAACTTTGATGGTAATTCTGGTTTAGCAAGTGTTGTCAGTTTTCCCCTTTTAAAAATATGATCGGAATTGATTAGTAATGTTCAGCTTTTCACAGAGGTGGTAAATGCCATCTTTAGACTTACAGGAGATTGGTTTTATATTTAGATTTATATAACTGGTTATATTAATATATTTAAATACTGAGGAAATCCCTTCACTGTCTCAGAACCAGCAAGACTGAGCTGTGTTTCAGGTTGTGTTCATTAGCCTGTTAAAGGCAAGGGTTGAAGATAAGCTGTCAGTGTCCACTTTTTTTTTTCTTAACTATCCAATTTAATTAAAATTTCCTGCATCTAAAATGTTGCCTTTTGCTTAATGAAAGGCATTTTAGTGTGGTTTATGTATAATATTAAATAAAGAGTATTTAATACTTCTCATTTGATAGATCTAAGGTCAGATGCTTTTAAAATTCAGTGTGAGAGGATATAGCAGCATACATGGATTGTGAATTATCCACTAAATCAGACTAAGTTATAATTCAGGATTGTCTTCTAAACAGCTATTCAGAGACACAACTGTGGAAGTACCACATATGTATGATTGGTAATGGTCCTTTTGCTAACTTGTTAGAAGGGTTAAAATAGAGGAGATATATCATCAGCACAAATTTGTAAATTATATGATAAGGCTCAAGATAATTAAAAACAAAATCACAAATCATTTTTCTAATGTGCTTGATTTAATTAATGACTGATGCCAAGATTTTGAGTAAAACAGTTCCAAGTACTTGTGGAGCAGTGTTTCTAGTTATAGTACTTGTATTTTCTTAGTCCCCTAGGACACCCTGAACTAGAACAACACTTCAATAATTCATCTTTATAGAGTTTCCTCAGCCAGAATGAGCACTGGAGTGTTAATACCAAATGTGGGTAGACTAACATGCTTCTAGTCATGGTTTGGGGGCATATAACTATAATTTGTGTACCAAGTTATTGCATACATAGTCCATGCCATAAGATTGAGAATAGGCCCTAGAAGTTTTAATGGAGGTGGTGAAATTCTCAGTGAAGGTAGTCTGGTGGTGATGAAGGCCCTCTCTGGGACAAAGAGACTGGGAAGAGGCTTTGTCAATTGTTTCAGAGGTGATGGAGGTGATATTAAGGCCTGACAAAGCAATCTGTAACTTGTGAATCTTATTTTTAATCATCAGAGAAATGTAAGTAAGCAAAGAAATCAGGAAACATGCAGAAACAATATGGGAAAGCAAAAGAAAGCCTGCTATAATTCAGAGGAAAAACCTTTGTAACAGAGAACTTGTTAACTGTAGAAGTTAGTGGTATTCAGAAACAGTACAGAAATTTAGCTTTTAAGAATTCTAGATCATTATGGGACTACATGATGGCCCAGAGTTGATCTACTTCTGTGCCTTCTACATCAACTAAAGCCTGTGTTGGCAGAGAGAATTACTAAGTACCTGCTGTGTTCTAGGACAGTTGTACTCATTAAGTGCCCCTGGTGATTTATATATAACATTTGCTGATCCTATAGTTAATTTAGAGGTGAGATTCCCATCTGTGAGGTATATATGTTGTCCTAGAAATAAAGACAGATTCCTGGGTGGCTCAGTTGGTTAAGCATCTGCCTTCAGCTCAAGTCATGATCCCAAGGTCTTGGGATCCAGCCCCTGCTCAGCTGGGAGCCTGCTTCTTCATCTCCCTTTGTCCCTCCCCCTCTCTATGTGCTCCTGTGCATGAGCTCTCTGACAAAATCTTAAGAAAGAATTTTTAAAAAAGCACTGTCTAACCCGTGTCTTCATGCCTATTGCTCCATTATAGGTGGCTTGCTGCTACCACAAGTGAGTCGGGTTTTTAAGGAGTGTCTCTCTTCCAAGTGCCACCTACACTGAATTTTGCCTAGAACAGCACTGTCTGATAGAATTTTCTGTGATGATGGATTGTACTTGGGCTGTCCAATATAGTAGCCACTAGTCACATTTGGTGATTAAGCCCTTGAATTATTGCTAAATTTACATAGCCATATATGGCTATATTATAAGATTGCTGTTGAGCATTAACATCTGTGAAAGCACTTAACTGGTGAGCTCTGGAATACTTTTCATTTTATAACCATGTCAAATTCCTTGAAAGTCACAGTGAAAAATTAACCTCTTCCAAGGTTAACAGTGATTGAATTGTCATAGCTAATGTTTTGTATTCTAAATTAGCTCTGATGATTTCTAGAACTTTTGATACCCTTGACTGCTTTTTTTTTTTTAGATTTTATTTATTTGCGAGAAAGAGATAGTGGGAGAGGGAGAAGCAGGCTTCCTGCAGAGCAGGGAGCCCCATGTGGGGCTCAATCCCAGGACCCTAGAATCATGACCTGAGCCAAAGGCAGATGCTTAACAACTGAGCCACCTAGGACCCCAGTGACTGCTCTTCTTTTAATCTCCCTTGGTCTAAGTAGCTTCACACTCCATATGGCATAAAACACAGGCATCATAGAATCTTTACATGTAGCTATAATCTGTTGCTAAGACAAATACATTTTTTCACATGACATTTTGGCCAAATTCTACCCCTATAACTCAGATCACTTTATAAAGTTCATTGATTTCTCAGCTTATCTTCATTACCTCATAAGGTATATGGACAAGTATCATTCCTATTTTATATCTAAACAGGCTCAGAGAGGTTGTTGCTGTCAAAGGTCACACAGGCATTACCTTGGAGTAGTATTGCATGAACAAACCTTGCCTTTTTACACTATCTTCTAAAATTCCATATCCATATAAACCGGGTCATCTATTAGCCTCTTGACAGAACTCAAACTTCCCTTTTCTTACTGAAGACTGCTTTCTCCAGGGGTGCGTGGGTGGCTCAAGTCCGTTGAGCTGCTGCCCTCAGTTTAGGTCACAATCCCTGAGTCCTGGGATTGAGTCCCACTTGGGGCTCCTTGCTCTGCAGAGTCTGCTTCTCCTGACCCACTGCCCTCTCATGCGTAGTCACTCTCACTCTCTCTGTCTCAAAATCTTAAAGAAAAAAATAAAAAACTGTTCTCCAAGCCTCAACCTCTGCAGCCTTGCAGGTGGGGCCAGCCTGTCCTCTCACACTGTCCGCAGCATAGGCCATTGTGGTTTTGGCATCTTCCAGATACTACTCCTCTCACGGGCAGAACTACCTGAGTGAGATTCATGGTATCTTTGTGTCAACTCTTTGCTGTTTTCTGTACTTCTGAAACTTCACTACGTTTAACTGAGAATTTACGTACTCTGTTCCTACTCTTTAAAAAAAAAAAATTACACTGGTAATAACTGCATAAAAATGAATGAATAACCTGTCCTTAGTGCCACTATAACCTCAACATTTTTTACTTGAATTTAATTCAGTACTGCTTTCTCTTGGTTGCAACTTGTCATTGCTCCAGAGCTACTCCACTTCTAAAATTTGAAATCCCATTATACAGCCTCATACTACTGCATGTCTCTTGTAATCTCTATTCCATTTGCTTGAATTCCTCAAAATCCCAGTCCCTGATCATTCCCTTGTGGCTTTCCTTCCTTAGTCAATTTCAGTGTATCTTTTTTTTTTTTTTTTTAAGATTTTATTTATTTGACAGGGAACACAAGCGGAGAAGGAGAAGCAGGCTTCCTGCAGAGCAGAGAGCCTGATCTGGGCTCGATCCCAGAACCCTGGGATCATGACCTGAGCTGAAGGCAGATGCTTAATGACTGAGCCACCCAGGCGCCCCTCAGTGTTTTTTCAATCAGTGTGTTGCCTGTAGCCTGTAATTTGTCACCTGTGTTGCTTTTTGTGGCATCTGCTCTACACACACCCGGCCTGGGAGCAGCCCATCTATCTGCCTTGTCCACTTCCACACCCAATCTGAGCATTACTGGAAAAAAACATACATTGGGGCGCCTGGGTGGCTCAGTGCGTTAAAGCCTCTGCCTTCGGCTCAGGTCATGATCCCAGGATCCTGGGATCGAGCTCCGCATCGGGCTCTCTGCTCAGCAGGGAGCCTGCTTCCTCCTCTCTCTGCCTGCCTCTCGGCCTACTTGTGATCTCTGTCTGTCAAATAAATAAATAAATTCTTAAAAAAAAAAAATCCATCTACCAATTGGCAGCACTGTTGTAAACCTCTGATTCAACTGAACCAGCAGACACCCAGCACAAGTGTCCTTATAATCATTCTCCCCCAGTCTTCCTCATGGTTAATTTATAAAATGCTCCTCAAGCTTCTCTCACCCCTCTCCCCTGTTCTCACAGTAGATGGATGACCTTGCCTCCCATTTCAGGTAGGAGTTCTTTACTTCCTGACTAGAAGGAAGGGTTTTGTTGTCTCCTATCCCCCACCATCAACAATTCTTAATTCAGATATGGTTTAGAATGTTCAGTGACATCAACAGGAGCTCCAGATGTTACACTTAGCAGCATGGTCAATGTAACACCCAACTCCAATCCTATGTCTTCTGCCTCTTCTCCTATAGAAGTTTGAAGTGCTAAATGCTTGCTTTCATTTCAGTGTGGGAACTTCACTTTGGGACCCATACTCCAACAGAACAAATACACTAAGTTCTGGAAATGCAGCTTTTCTTACTCAGTTTAATGAAATTATAGTTCAGCATGGATAATACATCTGGACCAAGACATAGAAAATCTTTACAGTTTGGGTAGGATATGGGAAATCTATAGGTTTTCTAAGTCACCCACCCTGAGTTGGAGCATATCATATTGTCAGATGAAACTACATTTGGTGAGTATTAGAGGATGATAATCTGAAGGATCTGAACTCTGTGCTGACGGGACCTATTGGAATCCTGCACAGTAACACTTATGTGCCTTAAGTTAACTCCTCTGTCAACTGACATTAATTACAATAGCCCTGAGGGTTGTTGTAAGGGTTAAACGAGAATGTGCTTAGCACTCTGCACACTCAAATGATAGCTAATTTTTAATTGGGTGGGAAGTACAATTTGTTAAATTGATAGCTGGACAGATTGCACAGAAGGGAGACCAAGAGGATTCCTAACTGAAGTGGTATAATGGAAGAGAAGTGCCTGGAATTAAGGATTTGTATCCATGACTCCAGTCCATAATTCTAGTAGCTCACTCACTGGGGGATACCTCATTCCCTATTACAATGACCAGGAATAAGAATCAATGAAGTGCAACATCCATGAAATTCCATTTACCTTGAGCTATTTGGAGGGAGGTCTAAGATGTCAAAGGGTTAAATGGGCACCTAATTTTCATACACTTGTGTGTCTAATTTTTCCAGCAACCTAACAAAGACAAACTTGTTAATACCCTTAGTAGTGTACTTACTGGGATTATGCCAGTCTGCCAATTCTGAATCTTTAAAGGTAAACAAGAAAGGAGACAAATCAAGATGGGACCATGTGCATTAAAGGCATCTTAGAGGGCGACCTGTGTGGCTGTTGGTTAAGCATCTAAATTTTGGTTTCAGCTCAAGTCGTGATCTCTCAGACTGGGGATCAAACCCCACATCAGGCACTGTGCTCAGCACAGTCTCCCTCCCTCCCCCTTCTGCTAACTCTCTCAAATAAATAATAATAATGAAAATAGTAAGAATAAAAGCAGCTTAGGGGGCAGTGTTTAAGAGGCTGACTCCAGCCCTCCACTGCTCCACCTTCCAGCAGGATTTACCTGGAGGCTTAATCCAGGTCCCAGTAGGATACCACCTTCAAGGCCCTTGCC